ATACTATAAAACTCTTAGAAGGAAACAAAGGGGAAAAGCTTTAACACTGAACTTGGTAATTTTTTTTTGGATATGACACCAAAGCACAGGCAACAAAAATGAAAACAGACAAATAATACATCAAACTTAAAAACTTTTGTACATGAAGGGACACAATCAATAGAGTGAAAAGTCAATTTTGTTATGAGAGAAAATATTTGCAAATCATATTATCTGGTAAGGGGTTAATATCCAGAATACATAAAGACCTCCTATAACTCGGTAACAACAAAAATCATATAACCTGATTTTTAAAATAGGCAAAGACCTGAATGGACATTTCTCCAAAAATGATAGGCTAATAGCTAATAAGCATAGGAAAAGATGCTCAATATCACTAATCATTAGAGAAATGCAAATCAAAACCACATTATCAAAAAAAAAAAGAACAAGTTTTGGTGGGAATGTAGAGAAACTGGACCTCTTATGCACTGATGGGAGTGTAAAATGGTGCAACTGGTATGGAAAATAGTAAGGAGGTTCTCCAAAAAAGGAGAAATGGAACTAACATACACTCCAACAATCCCATTTCTGTGTATGTATCCAAAAGAATAGAAATCAGGGCCTTGAAGAGATATATACATACCCATGTTCGTAGCAGCACTATTCACAATAGACAAGAAGTGGAAACACTCCAAATGTCCACTGATGGATGAATGGAACAAAATGTAGGCTATACATACAATGGAATATTAGTCAGCCTTAAAAAGAAAGTCTTGTCGCATATTACAACATGGATGAACATCGAGGATGTGATGCAAAGTGAAATAAGCCAGTCGCAAAAAGACAAATAATGTTTGATTCCACTTATATGAGGTACCCAGAGCAGTCAAATTCATAGAAACAGAAAGCAGAATGGCCGTTGCCAGTGGGGAGGGGGAAAGAGGAGTTATTGTTTAATGGGTGGGGTTCATGACAACGTAAATATACTTAACATTATTGAATTGCACACCTAAAAATCATTGAGATGATCAGTTTTACACTACATGTTTTTTAACACAATAAAAAGACAATTGACGTAATCAGGAGAAACAGAACATGAATTCTCTGCACAGTTATTTTCATTTAATCCCGTACTCAGATACAACTACTTAACCCTGAAATGGTAGGAAAACACACGTTTATTGAGAGGTAGAAGACCTGGCTTCCAGCCCCAGATCTCCTAACTAGGTATTAAATGATGTTAAAGAATTACCTTTATTGGATACAATGACATTATGGATGTGCTTTTTTAAAAAGTATATTTGGGTGAAGTTATGTTTTCCTTTTTTAAAGAAAGATTTATTTATTTGAAAGACAGAGAGAAAGAGAGAGAGTGAGCATGGGTGGGGAGGGGCAGAAAGAGAGGGAGAGAGAATCTCAAGCATGAGCGCAGAGCCTGACATGGGGCTCAACCTCAGGACCCTGAGATCATGACCTGAGCCGAAATCAAGAATCAGATGCTCAACTGACTGAGCCACCCAGGCGCCTCTGAAGTTATGTTTTCTAAGATTTGCTTTAACATATTCCAGCCAAAAAAGAAAGAAGAGTACTAGGCAGTGGTACATGAGAAAGTACAGCGAAATAGTCATAATTACTGAAGCTGTATGATGAACCTGGGGATTCAGTATACTATTCTCTCTGCTTTGTGAATATTTTTACTTTTTCACAATAAAAAGTTTAAAACAAAATAAAATAGGGGGAGAAAAGGATGGCTGGATGTTTGGAAAGGATGCCACAGCATTAATTTATTGAGATTTTATAACAACAGTATATTTCACATGCTATTGTTAATTTTTTAAAAAGCATTACATTTCATTTTAACTTGTGTTTAATAAATTTAAAAAAAAAAGAAAGAAACTGAAAGGAAATTGAAAGGATTTTCAAGCTTCAAGTAAATGTTCCTCACCACCTCCCCCAGCCATAAACGAACAAAACAAAGAAGGTAAGTGAGTGGGGAACAGGGAACAGGTGCAAAGGGTAGCATGGAGAGTGGCCTGCCAGGGCCATATCTGCACAGTAATGGAGGGATTTCTGCTGGGAACAATTGCACCTCATCATGGGATATAAACCACGCACAGGGGCGCCTGGGTGGCTCAGTTGGTTAAGCGACTGCCTTCGGCTCAGGTCATGATCCTGGAGTCCCGGGATTGAGTCCCGCGTCGGGCTCCCTGCTCGGCAGGGAGTGTGCTTCTCCCTCTGACCCTCCTCCCTCTCATGCTCGCTATCATTCTCTCTCTCTCAATAAATAAATTTAAAAAAAAAAAAACTTAAAAAAATAAATAAATAAACCACGCACGGGAATTTGCTGCTCAGTATTCCCAAGACACACAGGATGGCCCTGTCTTAATTCCGGGAGTATAAAGAAATCAGTCAAGCAAGGACTTCAGAACAAGGATGAAGGGTACACAAGACCACAAAACGATAGCCTTCAGGAGAAAGAAGAGACAAAGATGCAAGATAAAAAATAAGGAAGGAAGCTAATTTCATGAAGCTCAGAACACTGATGAAAAAAGATCCAAACAGGTAGGCAAGTCAACCACCAGCAGCACCTAAGGCTGGACGACAAATGGCATCAACTAGCAGAGTCTGGTGAGATCTAAACAAAAGGGAACAAGAAAGTCAACTGGAATGATCCAGAAAATGGGGTCAGGTCCCAAGGAAGGGAGAGGGTTTGGAAGAGCAGTCACCCTGAGGCCGGGAGGGTGGCCAGCAAGGAGCTGGGCGGCAGCCCCGGGTGAAGCACTTCACCTCTCTGTAATCCCACCATCTGCGAGATCTATTCAAAGAAAGGCCAGGGTCCCTTCCTCAATTCTGAGTAAGTTTGTTTTCCAAACACTCCTGGCTGCAAGGACGACTGAGCACAAGGGGATACAAAGTAAAGAAACTACTGACATCTCAACTGAAAGACGGATTTTAATTTGCCTGGAAGGCTCGCTGTCAGTATCTCAACTGCCTGCGGACAAGAAAGGGGGTCTCCAGGATCGCCTAGGATTCCGTTATACACCAGGAAGACAGGAGGAAAATGAAGAAACTCCCTGTGGCCAGGCCCAGTGTGCACAAGGATACTGTAGCGCAGGCCAAGGGAAGCAGACCCGCAGCGGTTGCTGCTTTGACAGATCACGGGACCCTGGCCACAGGCAGCATGCTACCCACTCACACTCCCCAGATTTGGCCACTCCATAAATTCTCTGGGCACCTGTGCCCAACACAGCTCCCTAGCGTGCCCCATGTGATGTTTAAATATTAACACCACCACCATGGGCCACATGTACCTTGGTCCACGTCTTAATACCAGCCCCACAAAACAATCTTGAGGTAGAGAGAATTATCCTCATTTTAGGGTGAGGGAAACTGAGGCTCGGTGAGGGCAAGTCATTTGCCAGACTGCCTGACCAATGAGCAGCAGGGCGGGCTTCTCCAGGCAGAGTGGTGTTTTTGTTCCCCGTTGGAGAAAGACTCTCCATTACAAATAAGTCAATGCTGAGCCGAGGTCCCCAGGCTTCTCAGTGAGGCCTTATCCAACAGGAGAGCTTCTTGAATGCTACCTCAGGGCTGAAGGGTCTCTTGCCTCTGGCACAAGAGGCTGGGCCAGCAGGGTGGGGCCACTCCAGAGGGCCCAGAGCCCAGCAGCATGGCGCTATGGTTCTATGGCCAGAGCCCTAGGACAACGCTGATGGGGTCAGGACGGGGTGAGGGATGGAGAGGAAGGTGTTGGTGTGGAAGTCACCCAGCAGGGAAGGCAGTCCTGGCATTCCACAGCCAGGGCCCAGGGGGAGGGAGGGAAGGAAGGTCTCGCCGCCCCGCTAGAGCACAAAGTCCTGCCATTTCCCCATGCAACCTCAACTTCCCCTGGTAGAGAGCGAACCTCGGTTTCTCGCAAAACACACACCCAAACCTCAGCGGTGGGGGGAGTCCACCTTCTCGACTCTTCTTCCAACGTTACAGACATCCTATGCTGAAACGAGCCAACCCCCTTCCAGGCCAAGAGACCATCAGGTTCTAGAGCCTTGTTCATTCTCTTTGCACAGTTGCATGTGTTTGAGTCCTGCCCTCACTTGTCACAGATCCTGCTCCTTAAGCATCGGACCATGGACAGCGAGGCAGAAGACCTGGCTTCCAGCCAAGGTTCCCCTACATACCCTGTCATGTTGCCAGTGTCCTGCTTCTCTCTGCCTCAGTTTGCTCACCTTCGAGGAGGGAAAAGCAGCTTATCCCTAATTACCTCACCCAAGTGTTGGATAAATGGAGACCAGGGAGGCAACCCCCCCACCGAATTCCTAAGCAGCAGTACTATTACCAACGCCTACCACTGTGCTCATGGTTCTTTCCAACCCCTGCCCCCCAACCCCCAATCTCCAAGGCCCAGGAGCACGGGCAATAAAATAGTGGCACTGGAGGCCCAGAACAGCCCGAGCCATGTGCCCCGCAGGTTTGCCTGATGCCCTCAATAAAGATGACTCTGACAGAACCACCAGGGAAAAGGAAACATTCTTCTCCAGCAGCCAGAGGGGCTTCCCTCTTGCCTGTCCTCCCAGATCACCTAGCAACACTGCCCCTTCCCCCAGAAAGCTCTGGATCAATGACCCTGGGAACTGCCTAAGTCCTAAAGAGGGTTTAAAAACGCCAGTGTTCCTCTCTGTTCTGCTTTCTAGAGGTATCCTTTTAAGCAACCCCATGTTTCAGTTCAGCCTTGTGAGCTCTGCAGAGGAAGAGAGCTTACTCCACATCACCTGGAAAACAGATGCTCGTTCTTACATATGTGACTTGAGCGGCCTCACAGATTCATATAAAAAAGTAACTGGCCATCTACAGAGTAAACCAGGCTGGATTGCCAGGCAGCCCCAGCACAAATCACTGTTCAAGCCAGGCCTGTGACCAAGCGTGTACTGGTGGGGCTGGGCAGGAGGCTGAAGGGGGCAAAGCAGGCAACCCGCTCTAAGGACGGATGGCTGGTGAAGGGCAAGGGCACTGAAGAGGCGTACGAGGCAGGGCCAGGTTCAGGGAGCCCGCTGTAGGATGAGCTCCGTAATCTCCGCCCTGCTACCCAACCTCATGGGTATTCCATAGTAGGCTGTGCCTGGGCTGACATATACAAACGTAGTCTGGGTCACTTGGTAGAGGCCAGCAAAGAAGGGGTTCAAGAGATAGGCTGCCACGTTCAAGGGGAAGATTTGCCCAGCATGCGTGTGCCCAGAAAGAATCAGGTTAATATCTGGCCGATCCTGCAGGGCTCTCTTGGCAGCCAGCGGCTGGTGAGCTAGCAAGATGGTGGTGTGGTCTGGGCTGCAGCCCCCCAGGGCCTTGACGAGATCCATGCCGTGGCCGGAGTAGTGCAGGATGTCTGCTTCGATATCATCCACCCCAGCCAAGCAGATCCAGCCCTCCTCCTCTCCGCCCCCATGATGGGGCCCCGGGGCGGAAATCTTCACGTTCTCATTGTGAAGGGGCTTGACATTCAGGGATGCCAGCAGCGCAAACCAGTTGCTGACGTCCGACGTGTAGTATTCATGATTCCCCGTGACAAAGTAGGTGCCGAGGCGTGAGTGGAGCTGGCCCAAAGGAGCCACAGCTGTGCGGAGGATGGAGGCTTCGGCGTCACAGAGGTCACCCACGATCACTGTGACGTCTGGGTCCAGCATGTTCACCATCCTCACGAACATCTCCATCTTGGTCCTGCCCACTGTGGGGCCCAAGTGAATGTCTGAGAGGAGCACGATCTTGAGGCTGTCCATCGAGGGAGGCAGCTGCTGGATGGGCACCTCCACAGTTTTCACAGCTGGGGGCTGGGCAGCATTCAGCAGCCCCAGCACGCTGAGCACGGCGGTCACTACCACTGCCAGGGCTGGCCTGACAGCCAGCTTCCTTGTCTTGTCAAGGCTGCCCACGGCCCGACCACTGCGCCAGGCCAAGAGCTGGGAGGCCTGCTCCATGCCACTGAGGGTACACAGGAAGAAGAGCATGATGATGTATGCCCCGAGGCAGGAGTAGGCTGCCACGGAGAAGAGATAGGGTTCCTCGGCCACTAAAAAGAGCATGGTGAAGAAACTGGAATGGGCCAGGGCCAGAAATGCCACAACAGCCATCTTCCAAAGCTGAAAACAGGTGGACTCTGCGGCTGGGGAGTGGCTGAGGTTGCTGACTGTGCTACGCCAGATGTAGAGGGAGCCAATGAGCATGAGCGAGTTGGCAAACAGGGCGAGCTGCAGGCGCAACAGCCAACGCCAGGCCCTGAGCTCGAGGCTCCCCGCCAGATAGGAGCGGGACACAATCATGGACACGAAGACAGTGCTGGCAGCCAGGGCAGCCTTTGCACCCAGGGACAGCTGCCTGAAGATCGCCATGTTCTCTGCTCCTAAAAGGGTCCCCTGCCAGTTCTGTGCGGGCGGGCTCGGGAAGGCGAGTTCCTTAGAAAGGACAGTGGCCAAGCAGAGGTTTCCAGGTCAGCTCCGCCTGCAACCAGGAACTGGCGTCAGCTTTGTGGGATATTAGAGTTTCCTTGTCCCCATTCAAAACCTGAAGGTCACTCATATCTACCCAACCCTCCTTGAATCCAAGTCACTCAAATGCCAGTCAGTTGCTACACTGTATTATTAAAATACAGAGTGGATTGTCATGTGGTGGGCAGTTCTCGTCTTCTTACTGATAGTTTTCTGAATGTTTAAAAGTTTTTCCACAGAGCATATGAACTTTTTTTTTTATAATAAGAAAAACGTTATTCTAAATTAGCGGTTCTCAAAGTGTGGTCTGGGGAGACCCTTTCAGGAGGCACATTTATTCAAAATTATGTTCATAATAATACTAAGCTATAACTGTCTTTTGCATTCTCATTCTCTCATGAGTGCAGAGTGGGGTTTTCCAGAGGCTCAGTGACATGTGATGTGGCAAGACTGAATGTACCCGGCTATCATCTATTAGGACAGGTGTGAAAGACGTTTGCAAAAATGTAAAACAGTGCCACTCTTCCCCCTCAAGTTTGGGGAGAAATACTGTTATTTTTCAAAAGATATAGTTTGTTAACATATAATGATTATTTCTTAAATAATAAATATTTTAAAATTTTCTATTTTAATTTCTAGGACAAAGTGTGAGAACCGCTGTTCTATATATACATGTAAACAAGGAAATTGTGGAAAGCTAGTTTGCTTGCATCTTTCCGAAGCTCTGGGCCCAGGAAGGACACCTAGACACCTGACATAAGAATTCCTGGGGTGAAGCCGGCCTCCCCGTGTAGGCTCTGGGCACCCCCCTGCTGGATGATACTGCATAACCGTTTTCCAGGGGGCTACCCTTCCCACCAGCTCCTCACCCATAAACCCTGATCTCTCTCCTCCCACAACCCTCCCAGATATTGGTTAAGATCTGCCACCACCCCCCATTTTCTCTGCCACCGTTCCCTGCAACAGTTCCCCAACTTCACCCTGGCCAGTGGTTCTCACAGCTGGGTAGCTCTCACCCCGAGGGCGCGCGCGCGCGCGCGCACACACACACACACACACACACACACACACACACACACAAAATGGGGAAGGGAAACCAGAAACGGAGGCAGATAGAAGTTAGCAAACACTCAATTTGAGATGACCTTTCCCTAAAACCCCAAATTAAGCTATTCTCAGCAGCTGTTTTTCAACTACTTAAAATTTTCAACTTTGATTTTAGATAAATCTATGACTTTTCTCTAAGCACTCGTTGAAAGCCTTTTATCAAGGGATGCAATTTACAAGTAAACGGGCCCAAATTTCCCCTCCTTCTACTGAAAACACGCCCAGCATCAGCCCACCCAAACTTTGGGGGAACCACAGTCCGTTCGCTAAACGTGCAGAGGGGCAGGTGCCCATTTCAGTTACCTGCCCGCCCCTCCCCGCCCCCCCAATCTGTCCACGACTGGGATGCTGACCTCCCCAGGCAGCGGTCTGGAGGCCCCTCAGGTCCATGCTTTAGCTCTGACTAGTTAACTGAGACTGTCCTCCCGCCAATTTTGCACTCCCCCACCATCTCACCTACTTGCTCCGCCGGACCTCCCTCCAGCAACGCTGGGTGCCACTTGCAGCCTATCTCTTGCCCACCCCTGGCCTGCACCGCCAAACCCTGAAGATCGGGAAAATCCAAGCCAAAAAAGTAGGCAGCAGAGAGTGGCGAGAAGGGGACGAGATGTCTGAAAGGAGAACACCTCGAAGGAATCAATCCAACGTTCCCATCGCGGGGGCCTCATCTTGACCCCATTTTTCTCCTTCCGGAGCGCTCCGCAGCACCCGAACTGGTCAAGGGAGGGCGCCTCAAGTCACAGCCCAAGGCGCCCTCCAATGCCGAGCGTTCCTTGGATTCCCCCCCCCGGAAACCTGCAAAGCTGGAAAGGTTTGGGCGCACCTTATCTCACCCCGTCCTTGCACCAACGGGGAAGGGGGTCCAAGCGAAAGGGGCGACCGGGGCTGAGCACGCGAGCGACAGAGCTTACCGGGGAGGACGCGCGCCCCGCCCGGCCCGCCCCCGAGGGGAGGGCCGGTCCACTGCCTGCGCTCCTCCAGTTGCCTGCCTGCCGGGGCGCGCTCCGGCGTCCCAGGCCCACGCCCTGCAGGGCCCCCGGGCGGCCGCAGCCCCCGCCCAGTCCCCCGCCAGCCTGCCACCTATCAGTGCACCCCCGCGCGGGGTCCTGTGGACTTACGCGCAGGCCGCGGGCAGAACCCAGCAGCAGCGGCACCAGCAGTAGAGAGAGAATGTGAACCACCCCCAGCAAGTCCATTCTCCAGCCTCTCTGTTCCGCAGTGGGCGCGCGGGCCAGCCGCTCCGCGTCACTTGACTTAGGACCCGTGGCCTGGCACCGCCCCTTACCGGCCCTGCTGTGGGCCCCACGCCTGCTCCGCCCCTCGCTCCGCCCCGCGACCGCGGAGCCGTGGGCGGAGGCGAGGAGGGGCCTGGGCGAGCCCGGGGGCCGCGGGCGGTCGCGTGACTCCCGGATAGTGTTATCTGGATTTTGCTGGCAGCTGCCGCGGGGAGGAACCCTTTAGGCAGGCAATCAGGAGGCCTGACTGTCAGCAGCTTGATAACGCGCCCCCGGGTTGGACTTTAACAAGGGTCTCCTTGCTCCCTTGCTGCCTTGAGAGGTCAGAAGGGGAAGTTGAGACTAGATACACCTAAGCGGAGGAGATAGAATGTTAGCCCTGCGTCCGGGGCTCTCCGCAAGACTAATCCAGGGATCCGCAAAGTGTGGCCCCTGGACCAACTGCATACCTGGTACTTGTCAGAAATGAAAGTTCCAGGGCGTCACCCAGAAACGGTCAATCAGAAACTCTAGGAATGGGGTACAGAAATCTGCATTTTTACAAATGTTCCAGGTTATTCCAGTGAGAATTTGAGAACCACTGTGCTAGATTACTGATAGTTTTAGAGGTATGGTTCAACCGTGACAAAATTTGAATACCAACCCGCAAACCACCCGGGTTTGCAGAATTTCTACTTCATGGTTGGGTTTTGGAGGTAAGAGAAGCAACACCTCCCACCTTTCAATTTTGCACATGAGTCTCCCAGCATCCTTGCAATGCAGGGAATCTGTCAAATGGGTGTGAAATAGTATTATATCTTTTTACACTTGGGAAGAAAAGGTCTCTGCAGCCTCAATTACAGAATCTTTTCCTGGCTGGTTCCCCAGGAGCTCTGAAAATCCCACTTCCCTTCACTGACACTGCAAGATTCTCAGCTTTAATGGAAACTGAGTTTCAGAGGGAATTCGCTTCTATTTTTTTTCTTCAGTTTATTTATTTGTTTAAAGTTTTAATTTTAATTCCGGTTAGTTAACATAGTGTTATATTAGTTTGGGTGCACAGTATAGTGATTCAACACTTCCATACATCACCCTGTGCTCATCACTACAAGTGAGCTCCTAATCCCCATCACCTAGTTAACTTACCCCCGCACCACCTCTGCTCTGGTAACCATCAAATTGTTCTCTAGAATTGAAAGTCTGTTTCTTGCTTTGTCTCTCTTATTTTTTTCCCTTTGCTTGTTTGTTTTGTTTCTTAAATTCCACATGAGTGAAATCATACGGTATTTGTCTTTCTGACTGACTTATTTTGCTTAGCACTATACTCTCTAGCTCTATCCATGTCATTGCAAATGGTAGTATTTCATTCTTTATTATGGCTGAATAACATTCCATTATATATATACGCTACACCTTCTTTATCTATCAATCGATGGGCACTTCGGCTGTTTCCATATCTTGGCTATTGTAAATAATGCAGTTATAAACATATGGGTGCATGTATCCCTTTGAATCAGTGTTCATGTATTCTTGAGTAAATACTCAGTAGTGCAGTTGCTGGATCATAAGGTTGTTCTATTTTGCTTTTCTATATGTATGTGTGTGTCAGTATAAAAAACTTTTAAATATATACATATATTTCTTTCCAGCTTTATTGTAATTGACAGCACAAAATTCTTTTAAATATTAGATTTTGTTAACTCCTTATTTTGAAAAATAAAATGTAAGGTTAAATTATGCTATTAACAGATTCCCTCCTGAACTAAACTTTAGTTAGGCTCTTCCTGTCCATTCCAGGCCTGCATTGCCTTGTCTTAGCAAAGAATCCTGCTTAGTCAGTTTAGGGAAAATTCCCTGACTCTTGATACCTGATCAAGTTCCTCATCCCCTAATTTGACTTCTAAGTCTTTGACCTGCCCTTAGCAAGAATTTTCCGATATCCCCTGTTGTAATATTCTACCCACAACCCCCTCACTCTGCTGGTAAGCTATAAATCCCCAGCTGTCTTTGTTTTTGCTCTACTTAGAATTGAAACCTAAAAAATAGAAAGAAAGAATTGAAACCTCTCTCTCTCCCCGATTACAACATCTTTTTTTTAAGGTTTTATTTATTTATGAGAGAGCGCGAGTGAGGGGAGGGGCAGAAGGAGAGGCAGATTCCCCGCTGAACAGGGAGCATGACACGTGTTTCCATCACGATCCCAAGACCCAGAGATCATGACCTGAGCCAAGGCAGACGCTTCACTTACTGAGCCACCCAGCTACCCCACATTACAACATCTTGAAGGAAGTCTTCCTTACCATTTTAACAAGTGTCAGAATAATTTTTTCTTTAACACTATTTTGTACAACTTGTGGATCCTTAAAAAAACCTCAATTCGGTTTTTAAACGCTGGAAGAAATGACTATGGAAGTCAAGAATAGTGGTTACTTATGGGGGTGAGGAGCTGAGATTGGGACCCAGCCCATGCAGGGGCTTTTGGGGGCTGGGAGGCAAGAGAGTTTTGTTTCTTGAACTGAAAGGTGGTTACAAGGGTTTTCTCCATAATATAACTCATTAAGTCATGTATTTGTTTTGTATCACTTTCTGTATCTGTTTTTAAAATAAGTTAAAAAGTTATATTTTACTTTTAAAAATGTTTAAAAAACCTTTTGTATTATGTAACAAAATAGCTAAAATTCCATTTGTTCATGCCTTTCCCTTTTCCGACTGGGAATTTCCTTGAGAAACTGAGAAATAGTCACTGGCTCTCCCTTCTCAGGTTCTTCTCATGCCTGAAACACCGACTGCTTCTCCTTGTATGGTGAAGTCCTTTTCAAACCCTGCAACCTGGGTCCAGTACTGAAAAGCAAGGTCTTTGGAAGCTGACACACCTGAATTAAAATTCCAAGTATGCCACTTAATATCTAGGTGACTGTGGGCAAGTTACTTAACTTCTCTGAGCTTCAGTTCCTTCATTGGTAAAATAGTATCATTCTTCATTGGTAAATTGGTAAATCATTTTCTTCATTGGTAAAATAATATCAAACTCACAGGGTAGTTGGGGAAGTGAGCAGAGGTGATGACTACAAGACATTTGGCACATACAGAGTGTTAGTAGGACAGTTGATGAAGTCAGAATTAGGCCTGTAAGTTAATTTCTTGAGTTCGATAAGGGTACAAAGTCTGAAGATTAAATAATAGTTTTGTATTAATTTATTGATTTGGATACTCACACTGTGGTTATATAAGAGGATGTCTTTGTTTTTAGGAAACAAAAGGGCATCACCTTTGCAACTCTCAAACAGTTCAGGAAAAATGAGTATATACCTACATGTGGAAGAGTAAAGCAAATATGATAAAACGTTGACATTAGGGGACTCAAACAAGGAATTCTTTGTACTGTTTTTTCAACTTTTTTCTAAGTCTGAGTTATTGCAAAATGAAGTTAAAAAAATTTTTATTAATCCTTAGCACATGGCAGATTCAGTTTTTCCCACTCTCCCAGCTTATAGGCGCAAGGTGATAATATACAGCAGGCATTCTTAACTGAATTGAGGCACAGGGGTTGACAAAGGCCAGCTGCCCAGATCTGGCCTGCTGCCTATTTTTGTATGGCCTGTTTGTTAAGAATTATGTTTATATTTTTAAATGGTTGGGGCGAAAAATCAAAAGAAGAATGATATTTTGTGACATTCAAAAACAATATGAGATTCCAGTGTCAGTGTCCACAAATAAAATTGTATTCGAACACAGCCACTTCCCATCCTCCACGTTTTATGTATAACTGCTTTTGCCTACTGGCAGAGGGGAGTCATCAAAACAGAGACCTTAAGGCCCATGAAACCTACAAGGCTTTTTATCTGGCACTTTACAGTAAAAGCTTGTCCAGGGAGTATAGATTGTAGTTTGTTTCTGAGATTTGAGTACTTGCTTTTGTGTTGTAGCCGAGCTGACTGCTTTATCAGCAGTGTGTCACTTCTGCCTCACAATCCAAGTTGCATGTTGTTATCCACATTTCATGGAAGAGAAAACTGAGACGGAGAGGAGTTAAATGACTCGCCACAGAGCTAGAAGGTAATGGAGGCTCTAAAGTCATATTGCCTGACTTTAGAACATGAGTTATTTTTACAAAGCTGGGCTTCTGGCTATATTTTTTAGTTCCTGTTCAAGTGTGCACATAGAGTTTCCTGGGATATAAAGCCTCCTGCTCTGGGTTGTGAGGGATATGAAATGACCACGAGAAGTCTGTTGCCCCGTAGGGATAGGGACTCATATCCTGCAAGAAAGATGTTCACATACACAATTAAATATGGTGCATGCTAGGGACGCCTGGGTGGCTCAGTCAGTTAAGCGTCTGTCTTAGGCTCAGGTCATGATCCCAGGGTCCTGAGATTGAGTCCCTTATCCGGCTCCCTGCTCAGCGAGGAGTCTGCTTCTCTCTGTCCCTCTCCCCCCCCCCCCCCCCGCTCATGCTCATCTCTTTCTGTCTCTGTCTCTCTTTCTCTCACTCTCTCTCAAATAAATAAATAAAATCTTAAAAAAAAAAAACCTATAGGGACGTCTGAGTGGCTCAGTCAGTTAAGCGTCTGCCTTTGGCTCAGGTCATGATCTCAGGGTCCTGGGATCGAGTCCTGCATTGGGCTCCTCACTCAGCAGAGAGCCTGCTTCTCCCTCGGCCCCCCTGCTTGTGCTCGCTCTCTCTCTCACAAATAAATAAA